TGTAGTGTGCTGGATGAGCAGGATATAGGGTCAGAACAGATGGGTCGATAATGGTTGAGCAGATTAGCATAGATGGCAGACAGCAGGATAGTAACAAGTCAAGTCAGCAATGGGAAGTCAATCAGGCAAGAAGAGGAGACAGAAGCAGAATCTGAAGACAAGCCAAGATCAGGTAGCAGACAAATGGAGGTCAGGAGCAATCTGGGTCAGGATCAGAAGTCAAACAAAGAAATCAAGAACAAGCACACAGAAGCTGTAGACCAAACAGCAATCAGTCAATATTGCAGCCTGTTTAAATAGCCCATTTGGTACCAGCATTGGTGACAGGTGCACCTGGATGTGCATGTCCTTTGCTTAAATCCATGCACATCTGCCCGACCAGTTGCCGGTCTGTGCATGCGCTATGGCCAAGCCTTCCCGGACAGCACTAGCACCTAAAATATTTGTGGCTATTGCCTCTCAGTTAATAGATTCTAACGTTTATTTCAAGATAAAACCTGCCTTGTCTCTCCTTTTTATATTGAACCACAGCCAAGCTGCTTACATACTATCTGTAAAAAAAGGCGAAAGAAGGAGAAGGATGGCACATTCTCATACTTACGTGCATGCTCATAATTCTGAGCAAAAGCTCAATACAAAACAGGCATTGTCACACTTGTACAAATGTATTAACATGTGCAGAAAATAACTGCACATGTGCACGTGCACATGTATGAGCACTAGCACCATATGGTCTATTTAGGCTGCATTCTGACATGGATGAATTGCTTACTGGTCTTCAGCTAGTTCCTGCTTTACCTGAGCCTTGACCTGCAATATGTGCTTACCTGTGCACAGCTGCTCCTGACCTGTCCTCGGATTTCTACCTGCGTACCTTGACTTCGGCTTGTATTCTGACTCTGGTCTTGTCTTGCGTTCCTGTACCTCTCTGCCTAGCTGTTGATGACCTTTTGGGTTGTGTCCTGGCTACATTCCTGTCTTCCAAGCAAGTGTCACCATGTTCCAGTTCCTGGTTCCTGCCTGGTGATCTACGGTCATCTGCTTCCTGCAAACCCCAGCTGACACTACCTGCTACATCGGCCCTCGTGCCACTATGCATCCCCACACTCCCTGTCATCACTACCAGGGTTATTGGACAAAAGGTGCAAGAGAAGGTGCAAGAGAAGCTCCCTCTTCAGCTTGATCTCCACCAGGTACGGGACACTATCCAGCAACTGAACAATAATTTAGGCTACTGTCTGTAAAATAATACACTGTAATTTTTATTTAGAAATAACCAATCTCGTTTCTCCCTTACATTGCAGCTTTATTAAATTGCTTAGATATTGTCCAACCACTGTACAACATTTGAGGCTATCTTCTGTCAAATGGTACACTCTTATTTCATTTTTATTTCTAGATAAAATCTGCCTTCTATCTGCTTCGTTCTGTGGCTCAAGCGTTCTGCTTTCATACTATCCAGCAACAATGCGTTATTTGTGGTGATTGCCTCTTAAATAATAAACAGGCAATCTCAAGATAAAACCTACCTTATCTCTTCCTCTTATATGGTGGCTATACCAATATGCTTACAGTATATACTGTCCAGCCACTAAACAATATTTGTGGCTATCGTCTCTTATGTAATACAGTCTAAATGTTTACTGCAATATAAACCTGTGTTTCTTTCTATGTGCTGCCTATTTAAGTGTTCATGTACTAACCTGACGCTTTCTAGCAAACACATAGCTGAAGTCTATTTTTATCAGCCTCCTGGACTGGTGTAACTCTTCCTTGATTACTTCTCTTGCTGGCTATCCTAATTTCTTTGCTCTGAAATACTCACTATCATTGTTAGAAATTTTAACATCCCTGTTAAAATTTACAGTCAGGCTACAATTCAGCTTCTCAACTTAACCTCATCTTTTGACCTAACGCAATGGACACCAACCTTTACTCAGTCTGATGATAACACCCATTACCTTGCATTCTCCCATCTTTGCACACCTTTTCAGCTCTCTGATCACATCCTTCTCACCCTGCCCTGACCTGGCCACTTCTGTTTACACCAGTTCACTCTTGTACTCACTGGATGCACTTGCTCTTCTAACTACACATAGAATCAGGCCCCAGCCATTACAACCTTGACAGACGGTGACACCAGAAATCTCAAGAGTCATAGCAGTGCTCGGGGGCGATTGTAACCACATTCCTGCAAACCTTCATCCTATATAATTTTGCCTTCCTAAAATACAATTCATGCCTTCATGCTGCCAAACAAACCTATTTCTTCACTCTCATTTGTACTCTGTCATCCAGTTCTTGTCAGCTCTTCTGCACCTACAGGTATATCTTGCTACTTCGTTCCCCACCACTTCCATCCAGTTATTTCCACCAATTACTTCAAAATCAAGAGTAATCCAATTTGTGAGAACATATCCACTGCCCAGATATCTACCCCACTTACCATATCCTGTCTAACACCACATTCAACACTTTCCTCTTTTTGACCTTTTTACCACAGAAGATGTCACCAAACCCTTCACAGAAGCCTGTCTAAACACCTGTTCTTTGGACCCTGTTCCCTCACAACCCCTATGGTCACTCCGCCCCTATGGTCACAATTATTCTATGCTACCTCACACACATCTTCACTTTCTCCTTCTCTTGTGAGACATTCCTTTCCTCTTTAAAACATACACTGGTCACTCCATACTTAAAAAGCCCTTACTGAACCCCTCCAGCCTGAACATCTTAAGACCCATCTCCTTGCTCCCATTTACATCTAAATGTCTAGAAAGCTTAGTCTACAACTGCTTGAGCTCCTTCTTCACTGATAACAACCTTACAGGCTGGCTTTTACTCACAACACTGCACAGAAAGTGCCTTACTAAAACTCACTAATGATTTACTAACTGCCAAAACCAATAAGCACTACTCCATACTCATACTAATAGACCTTTCTGCTGCCTTTGACACTGTTGACCACCCACTCCTCCTAAAAAAAGATTCCACTCCCTTGGTTTACAAGATTCTGCTTTTTCCTTATTCTGCTACCTATCACAGCGTTCTTTCAGTGATGCCTTCAAATCTATCTTCTTCTCTCCACTCCCATTGGCTTCCAATACCATCTTTATGTTGGTGACACCCAAATCCATCTCTCTACACCTCATCTCACCCCTCCAGTGTCCTTGTGCATTACTAAGTTACTAACTGAAATATCGATATGGATGTCACACCACTTTCTCAAACTCAGTCTTTCTACAATTGAGCTCATAATATTCCCCCACCTGTGCTCCCTTCCCCAACTTCTCCATCACAATCAATGATACAACTATCAGTCTTTCCCCCCACCCCAGGGTGCTAGGTGTAGTCCTAGACTCTGACCCGTCTTTTTTCAGCACCAAATCCAATCATTGCCCAAATCTTGTAGGCTTCATCTCTGTAACATCTCAAAAATATGCCCCTTTTTAACCAATGAAACCACCAAGCAACTCCCTTATTATATCACACTTCGACTTTTGTAACTCCCTCCTCATAGCCTTAACTCTACATAGGCTACCCCCCTTCAGTCTATCATGAATGCTGCTGCCAGACTTATCCACTTTACCAACCACTCAGTGTCTCCTTCCCCTTTCTGCCAATCCCTCCAATGGCTTCTGATTGCCCAACAAATCAAAATACTACTACTAATAATAGTAACATACATGCAATTTACAACTCTGCCTCATGCTACATCACCAATCTTATCTCAATATATCACCCAAACCATCTGCTCCTCCCAAGACCTCCTGCTCTCTAGATCCATGGTCTCCTCCTCCCATGCTTATCTCCAGGACTTCTCCAGAGCTCTTCCATCCTCTGGATCTCTCTATACCAATCTGTCTGGCTATCTCCTGCTTTGTCCACTTTTAGGCAATCCCTGAAAACTCTTCTCTTCAGGGAAGTCTAGCCTGCCTCACAACTAAATCTTTTAATTCTACCACCAGCCCATCCCTCACAGTTATTACCTTTTGTTCCACTTGCTCCTCCCTAATAGATTGAAATCTCTCAGGAGCAGGGCCCTTCTAACCCTCTTGTATTGACTTATATTGTAACTGTACAGTCTTTCTTTAAAATACAAAGCATAGTAATAATAATAAGAATTTAAAAAAGGACTTTTTCTGGTGTTGTTGTTTTTATTTAGTCTTTTATCATCATTTATTTGTGGAATGAGAAAGGAGTTGTACTAATGTATTCCATACTCATTCCTCTATGGGGGCTGATGTCAGAGCATCCTTATACTAAAGGGGGCTTACATATTCTGACAAGTTCAGCAACCCCCCTTGCCTTGTGGTGCCTTGGGGAAGGGTGAGTTTAAATATAATCTAGTACACCTGTTCAGAAAAGGTGTCCCTGCTATTACTGTAAACTGCTTCTAACAATCCTGAGTTAGACAAACAGAAATCCTAAACATATTATCCTTCATATAATGCTTTGCAAACTGTATACAGATATATAGGCTAACTATTTTAAAAATGTAAAAACAATTGCATATGTTATGGTTAAATAGTTTCCACTCTACATAGCTGCAAAGGTTTGGCTATTGTTTTGATTTGAAATACTGGGATTTACAACCTCATTGAAGGGATTATTTGCAGGGACCTATTCAGTACTTGGGACTGCACACTTAATAATTTGTGACTTTGTTCCTATATTTAAAAAATCCATCTGATGATCCTGCACCTAGTGATCCAGGAAAACTGCAAATTTCTTTACAATGTGAGTTACATCTTCAAATGTATATCTGCATCACAATAAGGAACAGTTAAGAATTTTTTAAAGATTTCTAGCATAGCCAATCTGCCTTTGGACTACTAAATGTTGTGTGAAGGCACTGCAATGGTTTTCATCATAAGTGGTGTTTTCTTTAAAAAATAAGCTGCTGTCCGTTGAAATAATATTAAATGTTTTCTACTATGTGTTAAGTTTGAGGAAGAGCTATGTGTATAATATGTGTATATATGTGTTTTATTTTACAGTGAAGGAGAAGAATGGCATAACATGAGAAAAACTGTGCAAGGTCACCTGATGAGACCTAAAGAAATAGCAAAAATGGATGTAAAGATTAATGAGGTAAATAACCTAAAATATGTAGGTATTAATAGAGAAACAAACCTGGCATTGTTATGATCATTTTCTAAAAGGTCAAAGAAAGCCTAAAATTATGGTTTTAAAAGATAAAATCATGGAAAATACATGATTACTATTCAACGTCACTGGTCTTTGTATCTAGTAAAGTGTGAGAAAGAGGTCAGATAACTTAAAAAAAAATCAACCTAATACTTGATTTGAAGACATTTAAAAAGAGTAGGTAAGGGTGAAACCTATGTCATACTATATCTGAACAACACACAGACATAACAGACTTTATTCGCTAGCATGTCTATAGCAAGGTACGACATTGGGGACAGTGATGTGGGTGCAAATTGTGTTTTCTGGTCCACTCACTCCACATGTACTTAGAAATAATTCCATCACTGTAATGCAGAATGTAAACTTTCTTGCAGACAAACCAAATACATGCAGCTCTTCTTACTTCAAATTCTTGTTCCAGCAATAAGAAAGGAAGTAATTATAAAATAAAATAAAAAATGCAGAGCTATTCTTTCTGTGACACTATATGTATATTCATTCTGTGTGAATTTTCAGCAAAATTTTTTTTACCAGGGTATTTTCTCTCCAGGTCAGATGCTCTTTATTCATAAGTATAGCACAAATAAAAAAAATGCCACATTATGTCCACAAGGTGAAGCTGATGATCATAAGAAATAAATAATTGTTTACTATGATTATCAGCTCCATCTGGTCAGCTCCCAAAAGATTGTTGGCTCTCCTCAGCTCTCAAAAGAATAACGTAAATCAGGAAAATACCTCCTCATGGGCGCTATGATCGCCAGCTCTGTGCAGTGGCTATTTTGATGAAGAACATCCAAACATAGTGGTAGCATCCTGTGTTTGTGACCACAAAATTAGGAAAAAAGTACCTAGTGGAAGTCTGTCATTTCTTTCTGAAATTGTAGCTGTCGTTCCTGCCAATTTCATGGGCCTGCCTCTCTGCAAAGATTGTTCCATCCACAGGACTCCCAGCCAATCAATCCAGTCATTTCTCACTGTGCACAGCTACTTCAGCAAGTCACTACTGAATTATGGCTGCCAGCTGGCTGCAACCCACCCTCCAATTACCGCTGATCCTGTTTGGAGCATTGCCAGATAGCGATGTCAATGATTACCCAAGTAAGGACTGTTGGACCACCTGACTTCCTCCTCCCATCATCTCCTTTCAAAGTAAAAAAACAGCTCATGCAGGTATGCCCTGGGAGCTGCTTGAATGTGTGCTGCTGAGCTGGCGACCCTGGGGACAACCATGGGATTTCTTCACTTTAGTGGGATTTTTCTCACTTCCTTTTTTTGTATATGGAAAATCTCCCCAGTGTGACACAGATAGCAAAAACAAACCTTACAGGAGTTAAATCCAACACTTTTTCTATTCAAAGTGGAAAAAAAAAATCCCCCTTAACAGTATGAACTTCTCTTGCACATAAATTACTGTTTCAGGAGAATACAAGCTTGTTTCACTTAATTAAAAAATACATTTAAGCAGCTGTTTTTTTATTTCACTATTTAGGTACTGAAGATTTTATCAAATACATAGGCCAACTAAGTGACCAATATGGGAAAATTGATGATCTGTACCTTGAACTAAACAAACTTTCATATGAAAGTAAGTAAAGTAAATAGAGATGAGCGAATCGAACTAGGCGAACCGGAATTCGAGTCGAATTTCAGGAAATATTCGATTCGTGTCGAAACCGAAATTTTGCCTACTTCGGGTGCGCGAATCGAACATTTCCCGATCAGCCGGCAAAAGTGTCCCTGCAGTGAGCTCCGCTATTTCTGACAGTTCTCTGACAGAAGGAACACATGTTTAGCGGTTGAAACATTGTATCTATTAGTTTACATTTAGGATACAGATGTTTCAACCCTGTACATGTGAAGAAGTTGTGAGAGAA